TCAAAGCGACTGGTCGCTCACTCTACTCCCCCCCGAACTGAGGCTGTCTGCAGAGCGTTCCCTGCACATACGCAGGGGTCACTCTGTGACTTTTGGGGGGATTTAAGTATCCCCCGATTTTTTTTTCAGGGTTTAAGATTTTTGTGCACATCTGGGGACCGTCTCACGTGTGCACAAAAATCTCCCTCCCCCCCAAGTGCCCCCAGTGCGCGGAATTAGGTATGCACACGCACGGGGGCGACTTGGCTATTAGATATATAGATATGGAGCAGAGGTCCATCAGTGGCTATTAGCCACAAGTTATAGATAGAAACTCTCAGTCTGGGGCAAGAGATGCACTGTATTCTTGGTGCTTGGGGGGGGCAGCAGTGGGAGGGCTTCTAGTGTCCTGGCCCCACTGATGGACCTCCCGATGGCACCTAGTATTTTTGGCCACTCTGTGGCCAGAGTGTTGGACTGGATCAGCCATTGGCCTGATCCAACATTGGCTTCTCTTATGTTCTTATTTTCTTATGTTAAGAACAGCTGTGCCAGAACTATGGCTTGCCCAAGGTCATCCAGCAGGTGCAAGTGGAGGAGTGGGGAATCAAACCTGGTTCTCCCAGATTAAAGTCTGTGCACTTAACCACTACACCAAACTGGCAACTTAACCACTAAACCAAACTGGCCTACTCATCCAATGCCAGGAATATTTGGTGCAGGAAGCTGTTTGAAGGAGAAAGAATCTCGGATGAGAATTGCTGCCCCACCACTTGCACCTGCTGGATGACCTTGGGCAAGCCATAGTTCTGGCACAGCTGTTCTTAACATAAGAAAATAAGAACACCACCTAAACCTAGCTCTCTGCCCACCACCTGTTAGGCACAACGCCGGGTCTCTGTCTGAGTTACGATGGGGGAATTAGTTAAGAGGTGGTTTGCTTGATAGGTATGCAAGCTAGGGATCGTACTCCAACTATACCAAAGTCAGAACCCACTCAGAGTTGCACAGACAACAGACAGGAAATATCTTTTGTGAAATTTATTAAAAATATAACCCTAATACATTCAGCTAATCAATGGAATATCAGACACACACACCAGAAAGCTAGGAAATAAAGAGGTGAAGTGATCTTATAGAGGTCAGTGACAAAAGTGGGTGAAGCGTTGGGGAGGGTTATAGCTACCTTCCAAAGAGTCCGCGGTGAAGAGAAGCAGACCGCTTGGCCGGCAATCACATCTGAGAAGATCCAAAAGAAATGGGAATCCTGCCAGTATGTGTCTCAGGAGACTGAACCAAATATGGCAGGGTTTGGAGTCCTTATATATAAAAATTGTGCCTTCGGGACAGGGGGCACAATGGGGAAATGGTCCAGGATGGGCCGGGATGGCTAATAATGGCTCTAGAGGGGTTTTGGACACAAGAAGACAAGGTTGGGGAAGGGAAGCCTTTGTTGGCAAGGTGTTAGGCGATTGCAGAGTCTTGGCTCCATTAATGGCTGGGTGCTCAAGGAAACAATAATGACAATAGGCTGTGGCCAGGTTGGTCCCAGGATCGACTTGCAAAGACCAGGGGTGCGATTAGGGGATGTAGAAATGGAATGGAGGTCCGTTGACACCCTCGGGGTGATGAGATTAAGACATTGTCCTTTCCGATGACAGATACGTGTCTGCTTGAGACTGTTTCTGAAGTGATAGCCGATTGTGTCAGTGAGGCAGTCCTGAGCACATGGCTGGGCGGTTTGGCACTGCACAAAGAGAGGGCTCTATTCACCCTATGCCAACGTTAGCCCTAACCTGGCTTGGGTACCATCTTTTTTTTAATAAATTTTTATTTAATTATAAAAAACAGACATAAACATCAAGTACACACCCCACTCCCCATATAAAAAACCAACCTACAGTATACACATTACAGCAACAACAAAAAATCAAGAAAAAGAAAAGAATAGTGAAAAACAAGGAAATTAAGGCATTGGTAGAGAGCTCAACATTCAGCATAAATACAAAAGGAAGGAATTCTTTCCCCTTCTTTTTTCTTTTCCTATAAACATGTGTAATTAATGTATAGTTACAATACGATTAAAGTATAGAGGCTTATTTAACTTTATCCCATAATCTGAGGAAAGGTTTAATCATACTTTGGGTATTGTTCTGGGTTGTGTATAAAATAAAATCGTGCCATGTTTAAAAAACTCTACCATTTTGGCTTTGGATTTGATTATTCTAATTTACTTGTTAATTTTTCAGCTACTGCAATCTGCCATAACTCAGAATACCATGAGTGTAATGTTAATAATTCTGCAGCTTTCCACCTTTTAGCAATTGTCCTGCGCACTGCCAATAGCATAAACACTATTGGTTCTTTAGAAGTCACCTTTTCATTCTGTTTCTCCCATACTGCTAATAGGGCCAAAGCTGGTGTAACAAAGATGGTTTGATGTGTAATTTCTGCCATTTCTGCAAAACTTTTCTCCTAGAACTGTGATACTTGTGGGCACAGCCACCACATATGAATATAATCTCCTTGCTGATTACACTTTCTCCTGCATTTTTAATTATTTGTGTTGGTTATTCTTCCAAGGTGAACTGGGGTGAAATACCACCTGTGTAATAATTTCAAGGACTTCTCTCTAAGAGCTATTGAGCACTGCACAAAGAGAGGGCTATATTTGCCGTATGACAGCTTTGGCCCTAACCTGGCCTGGGTACCACCTTTTATGGGGCAAGAGGAGGTTCAGGCTAACACACCATACCTCCCACCTCCCAGTCTTACAGGGATTCCCTGGCCACCTAGGCACATTTCACAGCATATTCTGGTTTCCCTCTCCACCTGTGGGAGGATCTAACCAGCTGTGCAGCAGATTTATAGTGCACCAAAAAAAAACCCCCACAATCAACCAAACTCACAATAGTCCAAGCCATGCAGTGGACATCCACCCTACCCACCCATGTAGTCAATACCTCCCCCCCCCCAAATTGCCAGCCAGTCATGATTTGCAAGGGCTGTTGCCTCTGCTGAGACAAAGCTGCAGCTTCTGGACTCTGCCTGGCACTTTTCCTGATGTTCCTGAAAAGCAGTCCCAAGCACCCCAATCTAACCTCAGTTATTACCCAGGTAATTAATGCTGGCATGCCTCTCGCAGCCCAGTGGGTAGGTACTCACAGGCTGCAGTCACACATGCCAGTTGAAGGAAAGGATCTAATAGCCGAGACTCCCCCTATGCTATCTACACCCGATGGCAACTAAGCGTGAGTGATGAAGCTTTAAAATTGGTGAAGCCCTAAACTTTGAAGGGGGGGAGGGAGAAACCTTCCAGAGGAGGGGGGAGTAACCCTACCCAAGACAAAACAAGTAAATAAGCAGCGTAACTTAAGTGCTAAGCCACAACTCTGAAGCGAAAATGCTATCCAGCACGTTTTGAGTACAGAGAGCCAAAGCTTACACTGCATGGAAGAATCTCAGAACTTTTTAAAAAAAACTCTTACTTCTAACATAAACAATGACACAGCGAGGGGGAAAGATGGTGGACAGAGGGAAACTTTCCACAGGAACTGCCAGCTCAAGATCACCCGTCACCAGACCAAAACCTACCATAGACATTGCTAATATGATCTCTGATGCATTGCGCCCTCTGCTGGACCAGATGACTAATTTTGATGCTTTGCAGAAAGAGCTTAAAGAGACTAAGATAAAAACAGAGAAGACATCTTAAAAAACTGAAAAAGATTGACTTTAAGACAAAGATACTAGATGAAAGAATGGAAATAGTAGATAAGGAAAAAGCTTCTGAAAAACAACTTCCACAGCTTCAAATGGAAAGATCATCTTATGTCCTAAGACTTCAAGGCATCCCTGAAAAGACAGATGAAAACCTGAAACAACTCTTAAGCAAAACACTAGCTCCACTGGCAAATTGTAAACTTGAATTACTACAAGCAGATATGGACATGGTCTATTGTAAAGTAAAGGTAAAGGTCCCCTTGCTCGAAAGCCAGTCGAATGACTCTAGGGTTGCGGTGCTCATCTCCGTTTCAAAGCCGAAGAGCGCTGTCCGAAGATGTCTATTGTACATATCCAGAATTTGTCAAGAAAAATAATTTGCCAGGAAAAATATTTGTGAAATTCTCAAAGAGATCTGATACTTAAGGTGACTAATGAGATAGCTGTAAAAATCCAAGGAGGAGAAGCAAAAATTCTAAATGACATTCCATTTTAAATAAGAAAGAAGAGGAAGCAATACAGAAACGTTACATTATTCTTACAAGAAAATAAAATTCCCTATCGATGGATTTTACCAGAAGGCCTCATCTTCAACTTTAAAGGGAACAAAGAGAAGATTGACTCTCTCATCAAGCCTAAAACATTTCTGGAACAGCATCAAAACTCAGCGAAAGGAAAAGGAAAAGCAGAGGACAATAACATTACAGAAGATAAAAGCCAACGTGCAAAAACAAGCAGTGACAGTACCTCTCCTACTTGTACATCACTAGGCGATATTTTTGGTTCTGAATCTGAATCTGAACTGGGGGAGGCTGCTCCTAGATTTTACAAGGTTAAAATCCCCTTTAACAAGAAGAAGACATGTAAAGGAAAGAAAACAAATAAATGAAGATCTGAGAACTATCTATGTACCTAATATGTAATAACTTACACTATACTCTTTTATCCCATAATGCCAAACTATATAATGTAAGCTTGATTATTAGGGTAATGTCATGAAATCAAAAGTATTCCATTAATGATCCTTGCCTACTCTGTAGTTTTTAGGATTAGTATGTAGTGTGTAAGATTAGAGATAAAGGCAATAAAAAAATTCAAAAAAAAATCTGTCAGGCATTCGCAGCGATGCCAGATCTAAAGGTGCATATGATCACAGCCACACAGAGGGTCAAATGTTAATATGGCTCGAATCATGTTGATAAATCACTCCCAGTTCAACTCAGTATTGTGTGACATCTTTATTCGGGGGACCATGGGGCAAGTGATTCCCCGATTTCTTACACTTCCCAACAACTTACCCTGTTCTTTTCCTATAGCTTTCATGAAAGGGGTCACCGGCCGATCAGCAAAGTCATCTTCATGGTTTATCAGCCCTTCTTTCACTGCTTCATATCCAGACAGGACAAATGCAGATTCAGGTCCCATCCACAGCATGTAAATGTTTCCATATTTTTCGGCGAGCTGCCATTTGCGTCAAAAGAGACAAGAGGAAACATTACATAAATTCAGCTACTTTGTTTGGGTGTAGCATGTGCAGTTCACTCTTCTTTATCACTTCAGCTCCTGGCCATATGCAACTCTCTTCTCTGCCCATTTCCCTTCTCTCAGATTCCTTCCTTTCTCCATCTTTCTCTCCTTCTTTTCCAGAAGTGCAATCTACTTTCTCAGCATCCCGCTATAGGCTTATCTTACCTGTCAACCCTTACTAATTTCACTTATGAAAGACAGTTTGGTGCAGTGGTTCGTAGACTCTAATCTGGGAGAACAGGGTTTGAGTCTCCACTCCTCCACATTGTCAGACCCCCAAAGCAGGAGAACAAACCCACGTTCCAAAGAAGTAAGATTTATTTCCAAAGCATGGTTGATCATGAACATACAGAGAATTGTCCAGAATGACTACAATACACAGGGGCAGTATAATATAGGAACTTCAAACTTGGTTAACCCAATGGGCTAAACTCCCTCGCAAGGGAGTTGATTAGAAAAGGCGCGAAGCAGCCTGAGAACTCCAACGGCTCATACCATAAACACAAGTTCAGTTCACACGGGAATCTAATTAAGCAAGGCAAGAAGACATAACACTCCATCGTCCACCTGTAGGAGAAGCTTGGCAGTTACAGTCGCATACCAGAAGAGAATAACACGGGGAGGGAGGGAAGAGGGACACATCCCAGAGAAATGGCAGCTCGCTGACATACTGCCCACCCGAAAATACCACTCACCCACCGTCTCCTGGCCTGGGCGGGAGATCTCCCGGTTTGCCCGGGAGACCTCCAGGTTTGCCCGGGAACTTCTTGTGAAACGCCCGAACATGATAAGGGGCCCGAATATCCCCTTCTTCCACCCATTCACGGTGCTGGGGACCGAAATCAACCCATTCCACAAGATACCACAGTTTACCACGTTTGAGCCGGGAATCCAGAATGCCAGAAATTTCATAATGTTCCTGGCCGTCCACCAAAACAGGAGGTGGTTGCACATTACTGTCCCTCCATTGACATTGACCAGTATCTTTTTTCAACAAACTGACATGGAATACAGAATGTAAAGATTGTAAGTTTTTAGGCAAAAGTACATCAACAGCCACACCATTCAACACTTTGCGAACCTTGAATGGACCAATGTATTTCCAACCCAGTTTTTTACTGGGACGTAACATTTTAATGTTTTTTGTGGAAACATAAACCGAATCACCAGGTTTGATATCCCATTCTTTGGCCCTATGTTTATCAGCTTGCACTTTATATTTTTCTTTAGCCAAATCAAGAGTGTGACACAGTAGAGGCCAAGCTGATTGTAAAGACTGGCACCACGAGTCCGCATCAGAATGGGGTTTTGGAGTCATCCCCCGACCTGTCGAGAAAAGGGAGAGGAGGGCTATCGTATCCAAATACAGCTTTAAAAGGAGACATACCAATGGAAGAATGAACCGTATTGTTATAACAATATTCTGCTAAGGGGAGCAAGTCACACCAATCAGATTGTTGATAGTTTGTGAAACAACGCAAATATTGTTCCAAGGTTTGATTAAGACGTTCTGTTTGTCCGTCAGTCTCGGGATGGTAAGCGCTGCTCAATCCCTGCTCCACCCCCATGAGAGACAACAATTCCCGCCAGAATTTAGAAACAAATTGGGTCCCCCTGTCTGAAATGACCTTGGCAGGCAAAAGATGGAGGCGGACCACATTACCGAAGAAGGCTTTAGCCAAAGCCTGGGCAGTGGGCAAGCTAGGGAACGGTACAAAATGAGCTTGCTTAGAGAACAAATCAACCACAATCCAAATCACTGTTTTCCCTTTGCTGGGAGGCAAGTCAGTGATGAAATCCATAGAAACCACTTCCCATGGCCTGGAAGGGGTGGGGAGAGGATGAAGGAGTCCAGCCGGCTTCCCCCGTTGGGGCTTGGACAGTGCGCAGGTCTGACAAGAGCGTACGAACTCCAGAAGATCTTTGCGCATGTGTGGCCACCAGAACTGTCTGCGTAGGAGTTGGAGAGATTTGACGAAACACCAGTGGCCCGACAGTTTGGAGCCATGCGCAGAGTGCAGGATGTCCCTGCGAAGAGAAATTGGGACATAAAGCCGGTGGCTGGAGTAAACAAACCCCTCGGGGTCGCGCACACAGTCAGGAAAGGCACGAATCACAGTCTCATCCTCACTGGAGAAGGCAGAACGGTATTTAGCTTTCCAATCCCCCTCAGGAGGGGGGGGTGGACTTGCGGCCACCGAAGAACTCAGAGGCGTGGGAAGCTTCCTAGCCCCTCCCAGTTGCTTTGGAGTGAACACTGAG